CACCTTATTGGCCCTCATCCAGCCCACCACCTTATGCAGCCCATGCAGGTACCAGTCCAGGGCTTGCATGGGCTCTCCAGAATCAAATGCAATAGAGCAACAGAATCATAGAATCATAGAACTGCAGAGTTACAAGGGACCCTGAGAGTCATCTGCTATTTAGGTGTGTATCTTTGCCTCTTATGGAATTGCTACTCCTTGTAACCTGTGCCTTGACAAAGTACCAATCTGTTGCAGGCGTCAAACCCTTCAACAGAAAGAACTCTGAGTTCAAGCTCTTCATTCAGCACTGAGGGCCAGGATAGTATATGCATTACAATTGCAACAGGCGACAAACTTCTACCTGCAGTTGAATCTCACCACAGTGGAGTACAATTGCTATTTCCACAGAGTTGCAATACATCAGGGGTGCCAACCTGAATAAAATATGGGGAAGGGGGCAAGTGAGCCCCACCTCACATAATCAATCACATGATGTGGCTCATGCCCAACCATTAGAGTGGCAACTGCCATGAACTTAGGGGGAGCCTGGTGGTCCCCTCAAATATTTTAGGGGGAAGCTCTGAAGGGACCTCACCCCTAGTTGTTCGCTCCTAGGTAACCCATTCCCTGTTGAGTGCAACAGTAATAGAGAACCTTTGTTCTGGACAGCCCTTTAAATGTTTTCTCTTGGGAAAATACCAGGAGAAATTCTTATTCTTCACTACATACCCTTTCCTTCTGCCATAGCCCTAAGGAAAGGAGTGGCTGGTCGCTTGTCTAACTCTTCAGAGTGGTCAGTGAGCATTTCTTTCACTGCTTGGAATCCAGACAGTACTACAATGGGTAGATGTCCTATCCACAGGGTGAAAATATTTCCATGTTGCTTTGCTAGCTACCATTTGGGTCAAAGGAGAGGAGAGGAATGATGTGTTCAAAAAACACAGTTGCATATTTCAACTGAAGCGAGCTTCAGTATCCCTCACCTCTGTAGCTTCTCACTATGTGCAGTTCTCTTGCTACCATCTTCCCCCTCCTCCTCCTCCCCTCCCTCTCTCCCTTCCTTCCTTCCTGCCTCCCTCCCATAATTCCAACCCATTTGTTTTACTCCCTCTTGGCCATGTTGCCTCTGCCTAGGATCAGAGCAGCAGAGACACTTCATAGTAACCAGCCCTCCTGCGACAGACAAGAAGATGCACAAGTCACTGCCAGAAAATGATCTTGCCACAATCTTTGTGTGATCAGGGATGTGGAACCTGTAGCCCACCAGATGCTTTTGAACTGCAACTCCCAACATCCCTGACTATTGGCCATGGTGGTTAGAGCAGATGGGCATCATAGTCCAAAACATCTGGAGGGTACCAGGTTGGCATAAGCTGGGCTAGAGCCCTGGGTCAGTGTTCAGACCCACGGTGGGTCACAGCAGGTGCATCACCACCATAAAAATATATGGGAAGGAATTAAGATGATACATGTCTGGGCTGGAGATTATTACCAATTCCAATGTTTTAAAAGTTAATATGTTCATATCTGATGGCTGAGTAATTTTGTATTTTTTGAAGAGTTTTCGCTGAAAAAGCTCAGAATTGTATTTAAGAAACAAACAAACAAACAAACAAACAAATTAAACTATGATCTGACAAAGAGTAAATGCTTGCGGAGGAGGCAATGGAAAGGTGCCTGTTCTGTTTGTCTCTTGTCTTCTCTAGTTACACGTGAGCTGCTGCTGAGAAAGGCTGGTGTGCTCCTGCTTCATTGCCAATTGAACTTGTTGCCCTTCCTTATGTTGGAAGGGGAGAAGTACACAGCATTCTAGGCCAGGGATGTCCAACAGGTAGATCGTGATCTACTGGTAGATCGCGGTGTGTCTGTGGTAGATCTTGGGGTCCCCAAACCCCCATGAAAGCTCAAGAACTTTGGCTCCCTAAAAAAAGCTCGATAAATTTGGTAGATCACCGCCAGTTGTTGTTTTTTATAGTGGGAGTAGATCTCAGTCTCTTGAAAGTTGGATATGCCTGTTCTAGGCCATGTGGCAATATGCAATAGAACAGAAGGAAGAAAAGATCAAGAGCATATTATAATAAGCTGTTTTATTCATTTAGCTTCTTGTGTTACACAATGTGTTTTGGAAATAAATTCCCTTCAGCTAGCAGCTATAAACAACACACATAATGACATTAAAGCTGGTATAAAAAGGCAAGATTCTGATTAATACTGAAAAGCACAAAACTATATAAAGTAATAATAATAATAATAATTTTTATTTATACCCCGCCCTCCCCAACCAAGGCCAGGCTCAGAGCGGCTTACAAGCAATAATAAAAACAAGTTGAATGATTACAACTTAAAAACAAAATTAAAATACAACATTAAAATATTGAAACATTAAAATATTAAAATGTAGCCTCCTCGCAGGAGGAGAAGGAAAAGAAAAAAGAGAGAGAGGGAGGGAATCAAATTGGCTCCATGCCAAAGCCAGGTGGAAGAACTCTGTCTTACAGGCCCTGCGGAAAGAAATCAGATCCTGCAGGGCCCTGGTCTCATGAGGCAGAGCGTTCCACCAGGCCGGAGCCAGTGTTGAAAAGGCCCTGGCTCTGGTTGAAGCCAATCTAACTTCCTTAGGGCCCGGGACCACTAGGGTGTTGCTATTTATGGACCTTGAGGCTCTCCGTGGGGCATAACGGGAGAGGCGGTCTCGTAGATACGAGGGTCCTAGGCCGTGAAGGGCTTTAAAGGTCAAAAGCAGCACCTTAAATCTGACCCTGTACTCCACCGGGAGCCAGTGCAGCTTGAAAAGCACTGGATGAATATGCTCCCATGGCAGAGACCCCGTGAGGAGCCTCGCTGCAGCATTCTGCACCCGCTGGAGTTTCTGGGACAGCTTCAAGGGCAGCCCCGCATAGAGCGAATTACAGTAGTCAAGCCTGGAGATGACAGTCGCATGGATCACTGTGGCCAGGTCGGGGCGGGAAAGGTAAGGGACCAACTGCTTAATGTGGTGAAGGTGGAAAAATGTCGCCTTGGCTGTTGCTGTAACTTGCGCCTCCATGGAAAGGGAGGCATCAAGGATTACACCCAAACTCTTAACGGAAAGCAATGACACTAATTGGGCCCCTGCAAGAGAAGGGAGTTGGTCCCTCATCCCCATGCCATCCCGACCCAGCCATAGGACCTCTGTCTTTGAAGGATTTAGTTTCAAACGGCTCCCACGCAACCATCCAGCCACACCTTCCAAGCATCTGGTCAGTGTGTCCGGGGCCGAGTCGGTGTGGCCATCCATCAGCAGATAGCGCTGAGTGTCATCAGCATATTGGTGACAGCCTAGCCCAAAGCTCCGGATAATCTGGGCAAGGGGGTGCATAAAGATGTTAAAAAGCATCGGGGAGAGAATTGCGCCCTGCGGCACTCCACACACCAAGGAGTGGCGCGACGACATTTCTCTCCCTAGTGCCACCCTCTGTCCCCGACCAGAGATAAAAGAGCACAGCCAGTTACGGGCTATGCCCTGTATCCCCACGTCTGCGAGGCGGTGGTCCAGAAGATCATGATCGACCATGTCAAAGGCTGCTGACAAATCTAAAAGGATCACCAGTCCTGACCCGCCTTGATCCAGCTGTCTACGGAGATCATCTGTTAGGGCAAATTGGGACAAATTGATAATTTCAACCAGGGGGGTCCGCGCGACATCTGGACACTCCCTAATCAGCCAAGACGGGCACGGATCAGGGAGGCAGGTAGTGGGCCTACCAACTTGAAGGAATCTATCCACATCAGCAGGGAGTATCCGTTTGAAATGGTCCAACACTGGACCTGAAGTCAGTCGAGGGGCCTCCAGTTCAGTCACTGTATCTAAATTGGCAGGGAGGTCATGGCGGAGTAACAGGACTTTCTCCGCAAAAAAGCTCGCGAATGCCTCACAACTATGGGTCGAACTTGTGCTTAAATTTCAATGTCCTCCTAAGGACGTTATTGACCTAATTATTCTAAAAAGTTGTGCCGGGCGAAAGCTAGCGGATGCAATGGAAGCTGCGAAGTAAGATTTCTTAGCAGCTTTCATAGCCATCTCATAGGCTTTCATAAGCATCCTATAAGATGTTCTTGAGGTTCCGTCACTAAAGTAGGAGAATGACAGCATTGGTAGCTATATGAAATCAGGGAGATACACAAGGCAACATAAAATGTTGTTGTATTCTCTATAGGTCAACTTGTAAGTCGTAGCAGGACTTCCTTTCTCAGTGCCATTAGTTTCACACCTGCAGTTGGTGCTTTCTAAATGACTCTTTGAAGCTGATTTCACAGCCCTGGCCTTGTAATCTTGGTGGGAGTATTACCTGGAGATTAGCACTTAGCTTGCTATACATCAGGAAAATTCCTGACATGTCCTGACAGGAATCAGAAAAATGTCAGGAAACACCCAGATGTATGGCAACCCAATGGAAAAAGCTCAACAATTTCCAAAAAAATGGAACCCTAGTTTCCATATGGGAACCCTGCACAGATCCATTAAGAAGAATTTGGTATATTAGTCTTTGAATTGTTCTTTAGAAGTGCTTCTAGTTGGAGTAAACAAGATGAAAACTTCCCCAGGCTTCAGAAATTGAACAGCACATGCAGGTTAGTACCTGTTGAGAGGCTGCCATGAATGAATGCTGAGGGTCTTGGCCACCACGTCCCACCCCCTGCAATGCAGGAATCTCAGCTAAAGCATCCATGACACATGGCCATCCAACTTCTGCTTAAATGCCTCCAAGGAGGAGATTCCACAACCTCCCGAGGGAGACCATTCCACTGTCAAACAGCTCTTACTTTTTCCATATGTTTATTTCTGAATCTTCTTTCTTGTAACATGAAGCTATTGGTTTGAGTCCTACCCTCCAGAGCAGGGCTGGATCAATACATATCAAAGAAGTGTTTCAGTTAAACACATTGTAAACTTCATACAGGGAAGTTGCATTGGCAAAACAGCTGTGTAAGTTTTTTGGTAGCCAGCATTTTGCCACACCCTTAGCTTTCTCTCCAGATTTCAGATTTAGATTTATTACGGCCATTGGCCCATATCAAAAACAATACATCAGAATTTATCCATAAACAATACAATTTAAACAGTTCCAAGTTAAAACACCCTTATAAAACCAATTTTACTTTAGTTAAGTAAACACTATACACAATAAGCTCCCTCTATGTAAACCGCAATTCCGATCCATCAGATTTTGGGGGTATACGTCTTAGTTCTGGCACTTATTGATGGTTCTTAAGTTTAGCTAAGCTGTCAGAAACATACAGTGATCCATTTCTCCTCTTTTGAAATAAAACATTAATCAGGTATCTAGCGATTGCAAGGGATCTACTTGTATCTTCGTCGTTTAATAAGTATATTATTTGGGCTTCCTGAGGACTGTCAGCAATTCTCGATAAATATGGGGCCAGAAACTTGGACCGTGAAGCCGAATGTAATGGACAACAGAAGATTATATGATATAACGATTCTATAGATCCGCTTTTACAGTCACAGAGGAGTGAGATCTGTCCGTTGGAGAGTCTGTTACCCAACACGTTTGATGGGAAAACATTGAATCTAGCCATTATAAAGGCATACCTGTGCGTCACCACAGATAAGGTAGTTAAGTAAGATGGAAGTTTCGTTGGTGGAGTTAAGCCAAGGTTTATCGGCGAACAGGTGCCTCCACCTGTCGCAATATTAAATTGTAAATCCATCTCCTCTAATTTGTGAGTTATAATTCTTTTGGCCGAAGTTAAATCCAATTTTAATAGTTCGGATGGAGATAGTCCTAGGGACACAAGTTTCCCATGTATTATTTTTGCCCAGGGGCTAGGGAAGTCATCTCTCCAGAGGCATTGTATCAGGTGGAGATTTGGAAGTTTATGCCATAAAGCCAACCAGTAACAGAGGATGCATTTCCATAATGTGGTTTCTAGAGATGTAACATTTAGTTCCAGTCGTATAGCAGTATTGCTTACACACCTGGGTAATTTTAACAACCTTCTTAAAAGCTGGTTTTGGATTACCTCCAACTGGGTTAGATTAGCAAAGGACCCCCATAATGGGACTGCATATGCTATTGTTGCAATCACCTTTGCCTTGAAAACTTTTAACACTGATGGAATATGGAAAGCCCCATCTGAAAAGAAAAACGCAATAGCGCATAGGAAAGGGCTTTAGCTCTGTTTAATACATATGCAACATGGACCTTCCAGCCCATGTTGTGTTGGAGGAAGACTCCCAAGTACTGAAATTTAAAGACTTGGTCAATAGCTTTTCCGTCTATTCTCCAATTATAGGTTTTTCGACTCTTGGTGAAAATTAGAACTTTGGACTTAACATGGTTAATTGTAAGAAAATTTGATTTACAGTAAACATCGAAAATTTTTAATGCCCTCCTAAGGCCGACTCTTGAAAAGGATAGGATCACTGCGTCGTCTGCGTAGAGTAGAAGGGGGCAACGATATTGGGCAAGACGGGGGGCGTGGATCGTTTCTTGAGCCTCTATCAGAGGCGCCCTCATATCACTTATAAATAGATTGAAAAGGGTCGGAGCAAGGATACATCCTTGGCGAACACCTCTATTGATAGTTACTGAGTTTGAGAGGTCGCCTGCCGGAGAGATTCTCACCCTAGCGGCCGATCCGTCATGCAGTTTAGTTATTAGCCACAAAAGTCTTTTGTCTATTCCCCATCGGGCTAGTTTTCCCCAAGCAATCCTCTGGGGATGCTGTCAAAAGCGGCCTTTAAATCAATAAAGGCCGCACAAAGTTGGCCTCTATTTGGGGAGGAGTATTTCCGGGCAAGGTGGTATAAAACTAAGATCTGATCAACCGCTGACTGATTCGGTCTAAAACCAGCCTGTTCAGGCCCAATCAGGTTGTTCTCTTCGGCCCACTTAGTAAGCTTAGTTAACAAGAACCGTGCATATATTTTCCCGATTAATGACAATAAACTGATATTCCTGTAATTTCCCGGGTCATCTGTCGAGCCTTTTTATGAATTGGAACAATAATCGCATCCTTCCATATTCTTGGTACCTTCCCACTGTTGTTTACGGCATCAAAGGTAGCGGCCAAGATTTTCGCCCACCAGTCAGCATGAAGCTTTATAGCTTCTGCCGGGACTAGATCAGGACCGGGGGCTTTTCCGATTTTAAGATTAGAAATAAGTCCGTGGATTTCTTCCGGGTCAGTGGGTGGCCAAAGAGGGAGCTGCTCATAGACTCCATCGATTGTATTAATATTAAGGTCTGGTAAGGCAAAATAATTCCTTAGAAAGGATTCCCAAATTGGGGCAGGAATAACTGTTAAGGGGTATCTTTTAGATTTTCTGTTAACCAACAGCCAGAATTTTCGGGAATTACGGGTACTTGAGGCAGCTATAAGTGCTTGCCAGCGGTTCAATTGCCATTCCTGTTTGGCCTTTTTCTGCACATATTTGTAAGCTGATTTTGCCTGATAGTACTCCTTGGGAAGCGTAATCGCCCCTGAGGATTTGTAATCATTATAAATAGCACAAAGATGTTGTTTGGCTTGTTTGCAATTACGGTTAAACCACGGTGCACCTGTCTTGGGGTGGGCCCAATTTGCCTGGTGGGTTGGGACAGAAAAGAATGACGTGAGGTCATTCAACAGATTGGCAAATAGATTAATAGTTTGGTCGTGATCATATGAAGTTATGCCAAGGGCTGAATAGGTTTGTATGATCTCCTGCTGAAAAAATCAGAATATTTTTGAGCCTGCGTTACAGACCACTTTATACCCTTCACTCGTAATGCCGTATTAATACCCTCTACCTGGTTTTCTGCATTAGTATCTAATTGAGTTGGATGACCGTGCTCGTCCCCGTGCCAGTCTAGGTCAAACGTAGCAGCAAGTGGAAGGTGATCACTATAGTGAATATTGCCAATCTTAAAAGAGAGAGCTTTCGAAATCAGGTCACTCGAGGCTAAAAGGTAATCTAGCACACTGTTTGATTTTATGCCTAGGTGGGTATACTCCCCCGGTATATCAGGAGGGCAGCAGCCATTCAGGGGTTCTAAGTTTAAGCGAATAGCCATCTGGTAAAGAAGTACTCCAGCCTCGTTTACTTTGGAGTCTTTTGAGGCTCTCCCTAAGGCATGTCTCAAATCATAATTGTCAAGGCATGGAGCAGTCCACCATTTAGCTTTAGTTAAATCAGCCCAATTTGCTGCTATACGTGCGTTGAAGTCACCACCAATTAAGGATTGGCTATTGGCATATTTGACTCGGCATGATACTAAATGATCTTCTAATATTTCCCATCTATCATGCAGTTCAAGGGACGAACCCCTGGCGGGAGGTAGACATTAGAGATTAGCAGTGATACTTTTCCCCCGACATCAACCCGGATAAAGCATAAGGGGAGCAGTCAAAACTAGTGAAAATTTGAAATGCAGCTTCAGTGAGATACCAATTACTAGACCACCTTTCGGCCGTCCTCCTTTCTGGGAGGGATAAGCTGGAAGGGATAATAGGTCGAATCCGTTTATGACAATTTCACCCTCCTCCCAAGTTTCTTGCAATAGAATGATATGAAACGAGTTGATATACGACTGGAATTCTGGAATTCTAGCTTTCTCTCCATCAGAGCCATCTTTCCCATAGGGCTTAGTGGTGCGTCGTGCCAGGGCACTGGCCTCTCAGGGACGCCCCGTGAGTGTGGGAGCTGCGCGGCTTCCCTTCCAAGCCTCTGCGGGGATCACTCTCCTCTGCGGAGGCTTGGGAGGGAAGCTGCATACCTGCTTCAGTGCCTGGCTGGATCTCCCTGCGCTCCCCATTGAGATATATATGTGTGTGTTTGTGTATACTCCTTGCCTGAACAGAGATAAGCGTGGTGTCAGTTCTCTAAAAAAAGGTCGACAACTCTGGGCAACCGGGGGGGGGGAGATCTTTGCACCCCGACGGCGAATATTCTTAAGATGGCGCTGCTCTCCATGAGAAGCATCAAAGGGATGGGGGGAGGGGGATAGGTTTCAGAGCCCAGAACTTTGTTTAGAAAAGCTGATAAGATGCCCTAAGCAAGCACTCAGAATTCCCCTTCTCCTTGAAGACATTCTCTGAAGATATTTGAACTGTAACTGTGCATGTGCATACAGAAGGGGAAAGCCAGAGTTCTGGAGTGCTGACCCAGAAACTGAATAGCTAGAGGAGGCCAACAACCTACCTCTTGAAAGACTGACTCCTGTGACTAAAGGATTAAAAAAGCAGCAGTTACTGCTCTCCTTGCAAAAAGCACTGAGACACCACTTAGTGTGCTTTGGCATGCAGTTTTTCGACTTTCCTGCCATCCAAGAGCTGGGCACTTCTTCTTTTGCAATTCACCTTCATTGCTTTTGTTTTTTTACAACAGAAATGTTTTCTTAACATAAAATCCCAATGTAGAGTTTCAATTTCTTGTTGATGTACATATATTCAAAATCATAATAAAAAACAAGAATATATTCTTAATCATTCGACTCATTCATGTTCTAATTACCTTACTTCCCCTCCCCTTCTTACTTGGGTCTTTTAGAGTTCTTGGTTGAATTCATAGCATAATAAATCTAGATTGTTGGTAACCAAATTTTTCGCTACTTTTTAAATTTTCTCATTACAAGAGCTATTCTAAACCAGTCAAAAATTTTAATTCTCCACAGTCATCTTCTAGGTATTGCTTAAATATATTCCAATCTTTACTAAATTTTTGTTTCGCTTGATCTCTTATCTGTCCTGTCAGTTTATCCATCTCAGTTTAACCAGCCCATCTTTCTTTGATGCTATCATCTCGCTTTTCCAATGTTGTGCAGTCAAAACTCTTGCTGCTGTGGTGGTGTACATAAAACTTTCTTTAAATTTCTTGGGATCTCCCCCCCCCCCCCCCCCCGGTAATCCCTAAAAGAAATGCCTCAGGGTTTTGGGGAAATGAATTTTTAAGGGGAAAAGTAAACATTTAATGAACTGTAAAAAGAAAAAAAGAAAAATTTAATGAACTGAACTTTGAGACAAAGTTGTGCCAGGAAGTTCAACAGACATGGATCAAGGGGGAAATCTGCAAAAATATCCTTTACTGTGCTGAGTTTAAGTTGCTGATTTCTGGGATTGACTTCAAAATCTTCTTGTTGCTACTCTAGAGCCACCTGCTGGCCATGACTGGGCCCATAACATTTGTTAGCTATTTGTGATCTTAATAATTAAACAGTCTTACACAATTAGTTGAAGATAAATCTTTACTTGTGAGGCTGGCAGCAGTTAAACAACAAGCATTATTTACATATAAATTAATGAATGCAATATGTTTCTTTCCCTTGATCCATAGTTGCTTGTTCTCACAGCACCTCTGGACAGTGTTGGCATGTTCACAGACAACGAGAGATTTAACAGAAGAAACAACCAACACCCAGCTGCAATTGCTACCTCCTTTCCCTGATACCATTTATTCTTTGTGAAATACATGTGTAATGCAATTACAGTACAAATACTAACAAATGCATCAGGAGTGGAAAGGGGTTGGTGAGTGGAGGAAGCAGAGATGAAGCCCCCTAGCACTGTCATATTTTATTACGCTCTGCAGCGGGGAATAGCACAGGGTTTATAAGGATGGGGATGTGTTGTAGCCCCTGGTAAAGGCTCTTTATTGAGTTCTTTCACTCCTTCTGGCAGCTGGAAGCTGAATGCCCTCAGCAGGCTAGTCAGGAAGTTGAAAATTTCAATCTTTCCCAGCTGCATTTCCAAACACATGCGAGACCCTGAGGAGGAGACAAGGCAAAGGCATTGTTAGGGTGGCGAAATAATCAAGGTTGATGTCCATTTCCTAGCCAGAATAGTGCCAACATCTAATAGCTGAAGAGCAGAAAAGAAGACACATTTGCCGACTTTTAACTATGGATCTCTATGATGACTCCCCTTTTACATATCCATGAAAATGAGGAGGTGCCCTGGAAAAAGAGGACAAAAGGGATGGGAAGGCAGGAAGCAGAGGCTGGAGCAGCTGATTACCTCAGATTCCCCTCACCCCTGGTTCCTGTGTGAATGTTTCTGGGTTTACTTGTTTATTTGGTGTTTGACTGAAACTGAGCGCTGCGGGATTTCTTTTAATTTTCAGCTGCTCTGCAAGGTTCTCAAGGGTGGTGGTAGAATGAGCCATAGAATCTGCCTTTGAGGGGGAATGTAGTTTCTAGCACCAGCATAGGGCAAGGGTGTTCAGGTTGGGCTGCTCATCAAATATACATTTTGGTGGGGTGGGAATAATAAGGAAAGAGCTATATAATTTTTGCAAACTTAATATTCCAAGGGCAGCTCCTAGAACCTCCAGCTGCAGGGTCTCCCAGAGACTTTGCAGAGATGCTGTCAGCCGGAGTACAATAAGTCTCTGTTCTCTTATGGAAAAAATATGAAAACTCATAATCTCTAAATTGTAATTTGAGAATAAAGACTCTCCAAAGACCAGAACTAACAATGCAACTGAGTGTACATTATATATCCCCACAGAAGTAAGCCCTCTTGATTTCAAGGAGGGAGTTCTCAGATAAGGAATGCAGTCTGAACTTTCTAACAATTTATTAACAAAGACATTTCTATACCACCCACTCACAAAATAAAGGTGTTGTACAATACTATAGAAAGGTAAAGGGACCCCTGACCATTAGGTCCAGTAGCGGATGACTCTAGGGTTGCGGTGCTCATCTCGCTTTATTGACCGAGGGAGCCAGGGTACAGCTTCCGGGTCATCTGGCTAGCATGACTAAGCTGCTTCTGGTAAACTAGAGCAGAGCACGGAAACGCCGTTTACCTTTCCGCCAGAGCAGTACCTATTTATCTACTTGCACTTTGTGCTTTCAAACTGCTAGGTTGGCAGGAGTAGGGTCCAAGCAACGGGAGCTTGCCCCTTCGCGGAGATTTGAACTGCCGACCTTCTGATTGGCAAGCCCTAGGCTCTGTGGTTTAAGCAACAGTGCCACCCGCTGTAGACAACACAATATACAAATACAATAAAACACGTGTGGGATAACAAGCCTCATATAACCAACATGCTTAAGTCTAATTAATGCATGAAGTGATTAAGACCATAGAGTAAGCTGTCCTGCCAGGCTTCCCTCACCTTGGAAGGAACTGGGTAATCAGGCCTATTGTTCTCCCCAGCCCACCCAAGAATCTCAATGTGTATAGAGGTCTAAACTAGTTGCTCCAAGCTCAGACCACATGGCTTTTACAAGACACTATTCTGTTCCTATACCAATTATTTAGGAACTTTTCCCACTGTCTGTAACTAAGCCAAGTTCTACTGCCTGTGCATTGTCTTCTGAATGCTGTATGCAAAAGTACATGAATCTGACCTTTGGAAAATTTGTAAGCAAGCCGTGATAATGTCTGCTGACTTTCTGCTGGCGTAATTTTCTACAGCAGGAGGCAAACAACACTAAATGCCTGACTCCTGGCACATAGGGGACATAAATAGAGTAAATATTCCTTTGTTCTTTAAAACTAAAACCTGGTACATACCCCAGTCTCCTTTACAGGTCAGAAAGGGGAAAATAAGTAAGGAAGTGGAATGGTTTCATTCAGTTCTGAGTGTGGTTTCAGACCCAAAATTTAAATCCCATGAAAAAGATGTGGGGTAGCTTTAGCCCTGCTGCCTGAAAAGAAGTGGGATGACATTCAGCAGGTATGAGTGACAGGGAGCAGCAGCATTCTAGTGCTGGCAGTGTTGTCTCTCTTCGGGAAAATGAAATGGGTGGCAAATATGGAGAGGTCCAGGATGTCAGTGATGGAGGCCCCGTAAGTGTTTGTGCACCTGTGGGTCCAAACAGCCAACCCAGATATCCCCAAAACTTGCCAGTGCCATGACCTGCTGACCAGAAGTGCCCAGAGGCAAAGGAAGGCGGCGTGACCCCCGGAGCGGGCGTCACTGCATAGGGTGCATGTGCGGCGTTGCTACTTACGTTGCATGCACCAT